CTGAGGCGCCCCCCGGGCTACCTCGCCCCCGTGAAACCCCCCCCCCGGCGATTCGCGAGGGCTGTTCCCGCGCGAGAGCACCCCGGGCGACTCGTGCAGGAACTGAACGGCGGAGACCCCCGTGGGCGACTCCACCGCTCGGACCGACCCCCCCCGGGCGAGTCGGCCCGTCCGGGCGATCCAGGACCCCCCGCGCCCTCCCTGGCGAGCGGGGGCGCCTGCGGGAGAAGCTCGCGCCCATGGTCCTCTTTTTGAGGGAACTCTGAGGGGGCGATCCGCGCTGGGGCGGCAGCGAGCCACCCCGGGCGATCGACCGCGGCAGATCCCTCCCTCATAAACAAATAAGCAAACACCAAAATTCACATGACAACACAACACAACACACAAAAAACACCACAAAGCACCGGACGGTACATAAAAAACAACATCAATAACACAATAACCACACACGCGCACACAACAATGACTAAACTATGGCTCTGACTTTGCACACCTAACGAACATGCTAATCTATGTATTTAAGGTAATGTTGAACAAGCATGGACATCAACAGAGATACATAGTAATATTATCGAATCGGACGTGCTCGTTGTGAACTCAAACTGGTAGCAACGAAAACCTACCTGTCGAGTGGCAGTTTTAAGCCGGGCGTGGTATTGGAGTAGGTGCTAGCCTCGTATGCTGATCATGAATCTTGTTGGTCGTATCGAACCCGATAATAAAGGCAATGCGTGGATGAGCCGCGTTGGATTGTTGCATCAGTTCATTGTCCGTCGAAGGTCGTTTTCCTCTTTGCGCTAAAACCGGTCGTTCAAATTCTGCAATTCATCCCGAAGAAGTTCGCATTTTTGGATTTTTTATATACAAATGCTTACATTGCATCTTTTCGACGGTATCGCTCGTGCTATTGTTAGTGTTGTGCATCGTCCATCGCGTGCGAGGAGCTAAGATCCATACGTAGTTTCGAAAAGTTGAATGTGTTTGGAGGTTCGCATATGCCCCATTTATTTTCGCCATAGGAACGTTTACCATAGGGAATCATTTGACACAGCCGGAAAAACCTGTGACAAACAATTGGTGCGCAGAGCGCGGTGCAGCAATCAGTGTGAGCCTTTGTCTCCGAGGCTGATTGTAGTAATTCTTGATTTATGGATGTGAAGGTTCATGGATGGCCAGGAGTCTCTGCGAAATCGATTAACATTGCTATTTGTTTGGTTTTCACATTGTTTTTCCTTTGTTTTTGTTGTTCTTCTTCTTTTCCTTCATCCCCTCGTGTGCGGGACTACAAGACTGCGAATTGGTTCAGTTTCAGGAGGAGATGAGGTTGGCAGGGATTTTCAAATGTCGAACCAATGCTGGAGCCAACTTTCCAGCACATTAATTTCGAACCGGTGCTGTTTTGTAGGCAGGAGCCCCGTCGGCACTGTGGCTTACTGACCTGGGTATAACATATATATGTATATATGTATATATATATATATATATATATATATTTATATATTTATATATATATAACAAAACATAAAGTACAATACATATATATATCATTATTATTCATTTTTGGTTGTTTTTTTTTTTTACATTTTGCATGATTTGTTTATTTTGCGGACTTGCTTTTACCAAAAATCATGCAGTTTATGTTATTTATCATGCGATCGACGTTTTAATGCATGTTGATATTTCAAACTTGTGTGAGGTGCCCTTATTGTTCCGAAGGTGCCAACATATTTAAACCTTGTGCACGGCCAGTGCAACCTGGTTGAAAGCCTAACGGAGTATATCGAATTTTTTGTCCGCCATGCCATTTTGGCATGCCGAAATGGTCGAGACTTTCACATATGCAGTACGAGCTCATGATTTGCAGGTTTTTTTTGCCAAATCCAGCAGAAGTAATAGCATACCATGATCATTATCCGAGTGGGCCGCGTCGACCAGCGTGTTGATCTGAATGCGTCGCTTGTGCCTCCTGCGCGGTCGGAGCAGGCTGCGAGTCTCTGATTGGTGTTTCTGTTTTTCCTTGAAACAGAGAGTCGTGCATTATGGCTGGCAGTGCGTACCGTCTTGGCACTACGAGATCGGTTTGAACTTTGCGGCGAAGCGTTACGTCTTTGTTCCGACTCGTAATCATATCTCTGCCTTTTTGAAGGTTGCATGGGGTTTGTTTGCATTATTGGCACATGTTACAGCCTCGTCAGTCAGGCATGCCGTCCTCTCCTGCTTGACCTTTTTCCAGTCTCCAGGTCACGATTTTTTCGGGATTGCCTCATGTTCATAAACAATTGTCGCCAAAATGTTATTCGTCGTTTTGGCACTTGTCTGGACTCTTGCATTCCAGTCTGGGTTTCAATTGATTTGCCATGATATCCGGTCTTTCGGCCATGTCCGATACGGTTCCATTTGGATGTTTGGTTGCTGCACTGATTGCGCCTTCTGTTGATATCGCATTGCGTCGCATCTACCACCCGTCGCATAGTATTCAGTTATGCTTTTCGGTTTTGTTGTTTGTGTTCCGTGTTCCTTTGTAGTTGTCGTTCGCTGTCATTTTTTCCGCGCCGTCGGTATTTCGAACGTTCTGGAATAAAATCCAATATGTTTTGATTGGTGCAGGGCCGTTTGGTCCGAATGTTTTTGGCGGGTAGAGCAGCATAGAAGAAAACACATATATTCGGCGGTTTCCATTTCTTTGTATACGGCTTGTCCATCAAGGGGTGTCCAATCTCCAGCCTTGTCCAGCAATTTTGGAAGGGGGATGGGGGCGAGAGCACGAATTGAAACAGCACAATCATCTCGCTGACAATTTCATTTCGATGGGAGTTTGCATGGCAGGTGCAACATAATTTGAAACATTGACGACTTCCTGGCGAAAAGCCGTGTTCGATCTCCAGAGCGACCGAGTGAGAATCGAAGCCAATTTTTGTGATAGATGCTCATGATGCCGGAGAAAAGCCCCAATCATAATATTTATAGGGCTATAGGGCGATGGGGGGGCTATAGGGCTATAGGGCTATAGGGCAAAGGAGTTATTGGGCTACAGGGCTATAGGGCTACAGGGCTATAGGGCAATCAGGTCTATAGGGCCATAGGGCTATAGGGTTTTTGGCCTATAAGGCTATAGGGCTGTAGGTTTATAGGGCTACTGGGCTATAGGGCTACAGAGCTATTACGGCTATAGGGCTATAGGGTTCTAGAGCTATGGGGCTAGGCTACAGGGCTATAGGGCTATAGGGCTATAGGGCTATAAGGCGGTAAGGCTATAGGGCTACCGGGCACCTGGGCACCTGGGCACCCCGGCCCGTGCCGCCGAAATCGTCGCCGTACCTCACTGAACCAAACAAATCCGCTAGGACCCCTACAGAGGCAAGCTCTGATTGGGGAGTGCTTCCAACAATGATTGCTCCTACGGCGTAGTCGTAGAGGATTGCCATTCCGTTTCTAGAATATCGAATTCATTTTTCACAGCAAGGGCGACGGTACCAACAAACTATTTTAACTAGGCACGCACCTGCAATGCACTGAGTTCCGAGGAATCTTGGACATTGTGTAAGTTTTGATGTTATTATAATTTTCGCAGCAGTTTTTGTGTCGCCGATGTTTATGGCTTGACTATGCCCCGATTGTCGTTGACCTTGTTTCTGACCCCGCCTGTTTCCGATTTTCTATATTCATTTGAACCCGAATCTACAGGGTGGATTTCGATATGGTTGATCATATTCCATGTCGATTTCGGCAGGGCGATGCAATTCGAACTCAAGTATTTGACGATTCCATGCGGCCAGATGCTTGCACGTCGCTTTTGTGTATCATGGCGAGGTCGATTCGATTTTATTCAGACTCCGTGTTGATGCAGTCTGATTCGGTGCATGACCGCTCCTGCCTGCTTGTGCAAATGCTTTCCAGGGCTCGGCCTTGCATCATATTGCCCCCCCCGCCCTGGTAATGACGCCGTCGACATTTTTGTTACAGAGTGTTCTTGGCATTGGTGTTGACCCCGCGCACCGCCGATATTCATGTTTGGGCCGTGTCGACCTGGACCGTTCCCGGCCCTGCTGCTGACCCCACGTGTCCCTGGCCCTGGTGCTGATACGCGCGGTGTCAGAGGCCCTGGTGCTGACCTTGCGTGCTGTCAGTTTTCCCTTTTCTGATTGCCGATCGCCTCAGTGTTGACACTCGCGTGCCGCCGAATTCCGCGATTCGGTCGTGTCCCTTCCTGACTGTCCCCAGCCCTGGTGCGGAGTCCGTGCGCAGCCCGTTTCCATGGCCCTAATGGTCCCCTGCTGTTCGCTCACGCTACTGATTCACATGGTTCTGGCCCGATTCCGAGCCCTGGCCCTGGTGTTGATGCGCGCCTTTCGCCCATTTCTGTTGTTCGGTTTTGTCCACGACCGTCTCCAGCCCTGGTGCTCACTCCGAGCCGCAGCTTTTCATGGTTGGGGCCTGCCCCTGGCCCTGGCGCCGACCCCGCGCGCTGCTGATTCCCACGCCTCGGCTGCGGCCCTGGACCCTTCCTGGCCCTTGTGGTGTCCCCGCGGGCCCGCTGGTCTCCATGATACGGCCCTGTCCCGGCTTGTCCCCGACGCTGGTGCTGTACCCTGCCTGTTGCCGATTCCCGTGCTCCGCCCCTGTCCCCGACTGTAACCGTCGAGGTCGTCGCAGGTCGTCGTTGCCATGGCCTTCGCCTTATCTTGTCGCCATGATTGGGGTTCGGATGCCGGCGTGCTGGTGCTATTTTTTCTCGCTTGCGCTCTCGTCTGGTAGCGAGCCACGGGGGCCTTGTATGTCCGCCTAAGTCCGTCTTTGCAGTGCGTGAGCGTGCGCTAGCGTCTGGAAATCGATGAGAAAGCGCTGATGCAGCGTCGACGTAGCGTCGATTTGGCGTCGATTAGCGTTGGGCAGCGTCGAGTCGCGTCGGTTAGAGTCGATTCGCAAAAGCCAGGGAGGTGGTAAGGGAGGCTCCCATGAGGTTCCGCCGAACTTTCGCCCCTTCCCCGCACGGCCGGCAG